ATTAGAGTTAAGTAACACTTGTTCCAAATTTGTGAACCTTAATACTTTATTTGATTACATTGTGCAGAAACATGATGTCGCGGAACACTTAGATCAACCAAGACCAATGAGCTAACGGGAGTAATATGAAGCGAGCAATTAGATTACAAGTTATATCAGGGGAGTCTTTTCTTCATTTTCTTCTCCATCCCTTTATATGCGCATTTATAATTTAAGACATTGAGGACAATATCTTGTTTAAATTTGGGGGTAGAAAACATGAGTTTTCATTTTTTTTTTTTATGTGTTTTTGTATGCTTTTATTGCTTTAGATAAAATAAAAAAATCAAAAAAATTTCAAAAAAATGAAAATTTTTCTTTTTGTATGGTTGTGTGAGTTAGTTGGTCTGACTGGCAATGAGAAATATTTTAAATCGTAAATTGATCTATGAATGGTGAATAAGTTGTATGCCTAAATTAATTTTTGTTTTTTCATGTGAAATTTGATATTTATTGAGCGCATTAATTAAGTTAAGTATTGTGTAGGAATGAGTTGATTTCATAATTGAATATGTTAAAATAGTGGACCATAGATGCCAAACCTAAAACCACTAAATTTTACATCCTTGGACCAAATTTAGAATAGTTTGGGGGATTTCACTATTGTGGGAAGATATTGTAATTAATGGGAATTTCATGTGCGAAAAAGAAAAAAAAAATTTGTGTGCATTGTCTAAGGTCAATAGGATGCAATTGGGTGAAAATCTCAAATTAGAGGTTATTTTACTTGAATTGGTATTTAATAAGGGATATTGCACTAATCAAGGTAAAAAATATATATATATATTTTATTTGAAAATTTCTTTTCGTTGCCTTTATGATTCGAGCAATTAAATCCGCAAGGGTCTTTAAAACCTGATATCCTATGGTCAAATGACTTAAGAGTCATCGGCATTTAGAAAGTTTAAGGGAGAGAATGTTTCAAATAAAGAAGAAAAATAAAGAAAAAAATGTTGCAAAAAAAAAATAGAAAAAAAATAGAAAAAAACATATGCATGAAACAGCAGATGTATCAAATGCCTTGGTTATGTCCCAAACACTTATTTGGAAAAATTCAACTTTCTGATAAGAGATTATTGACCTAATTAAATCTTAGAGATTGAAGCAATCAAACTATGGAGAATCCTTATGTATTGACATATTAACTTGCAATTAGTGAGATTTATCTAAACTAGAGAGGTGAGGATAGTTGAAAATTCAACATTAGGTCTTACATTTGGAAATAGAGAAAAGAATAAGTTTGGGAGTGTGCGAATCTTACGAGCGATGAAAGACCACATCGACCATTGAGGGTCGGGAATTGAAACAACTTGTGAATTCATGATGCCACGCTTAATTCTTCACACACACACATCGATTTTATATTGGAAAAGCGGATTTTGATTTTTGTATTGTGATTTTGAAGTTGTGCATAGATCTAATTATGATTTCAATCTTGAGATAAAAAGTCAGGGTAACTAGCTAAATTGTTTTGTTTTACTTGATTGTCTGGCCACTAATTAGGTAATTAGCACCGCATGTTTATGTGTTTGTTATGTTTTTGTTTTGTTTGAGGACAAACAAAGATTCAAGTTTGGGGGTTTGGCAAGTGTATTTTCTACACTTATTCGAGGTATGAACCCTATAATTTTGTTGTCTTTTTGGCAAAATACGACCTAAATTATGTTATATTGCATCTTGTAGATAAAACTCAATGTTTAATGAAAAATTGGAGAAAAAAATGCAAAAATAGCGAAAAATGGTAAAATTCAAAGTTTGAGGATCAAATTGCAAATACTCAAGAAGATACTTTGAATGTTAAGAGACAATTGGATGAAATTAGAATTCAAAAAGGAATGGAACATGATCAAAGTATTATCAAAATCAATTTCCAATCGCTCAAGATATATTCCAGATTTTTAGCCGAACATTGAGACCCCCTTTTTCATAGTAAACGTTCGAATTGGAAAAACTCTATTTCAATCAAAGTTGTAACCCTTTGAATTATTTTTCCAACGCATTTTGAATCGCTTCAATCGGATATCAAAAGAGAAAGTTATGAAGTTATGACTAAAATACGGACTGTTGTGCAGAGACAAAAAATTCGTGTGTGAAGGCAACTTTCCTTATTCGATTAGAACTCTTTTAGAAACCAATTTGGACGTGATTTTCAACCAATTTTCGGCTCCTATAAAGAGATAACAGCAGAATACATATGGAGAACCTCCCTAAACCTAAAAATATATATATTATACATATTTTGGAGGAAAAAACATGGCTAACAACGTGGAATCAAGGCGAATTGCATAAGATATTGAAGATTCTTAATCCGGATTCAAGATTCACATAAAAAATGTGGATTTTTCCTACTTTTTTCATCTTTCTTATTTTCGGGTGATATTTTTTCAATTATTCTTGTGTAATTTAATTATAAGAATGTTAGACTAGCTTTTCATTATATTGGATGAATGATGAACCATATTGTTTATTTGTTTTAATTCAAGACAATTAATTTAATACTTCTTGATTTTTCTTGATTGGTTTTGCATTCCCATTAAACTATTTGATTGTTTGATCACCAATTAGATAGTAAGTTGCTTGCTGTAGTGCATGAATACTTACAATAAGTCTAGAATGCGGTAAAATCAACACTTGGAAAATAGGTATTAGGAACAATATCTATGGCATGTGCAATCATGTGATTCAATGCATGTTTTTCATATGAATTCGGATTAGGAATATGATTGGGTCGTGTTAAATATATGTTTAATATATTTTGGAAAATAATATTGAATAANTATTTTCTAGATTACGTATTAAGAATTGAAATAAATGGCAATAGTGGGATTCTCGATTTCAATACAATCAATAACATATTAGATAAACACTTTATTTGTTTTGTTAATTTATGATTAATATAGATTATATACAAATAATCGTTTTTTTTATATTACCACACTTCGAATTTAATAGTAGTTATTGAACTACAATTAGACCTTATTTCTCGTGGGGACGATATTTTTAACTCACAAGTATTATTACTTGTACAACGATCCTGTACGCTTAGGGGTTTCACGCGAACACAGTTGTAAAACAAGAGCATTTTTAAAGGAGTTTCGATTCCTAGCGAAATTGGAAGGCAACATTTTATGTTGGAAGACAAATGTCCTATGAAGACAAAGTCATATTGCACTCCATCACCCCTCTAGGGGTACTGTCCACATGACGTAAAGGGGAAGGCCTTCACTCCTGAGGATGGCGAACCAAGGGGAAGGCCTCCACTCCTGAGGATTAGTTGAGCGAGCCTTGGAAACATGAATAATAATTAAAAAAGGATACATTCTTCACCAGAAAAAGGAGTTCATAAGTAGTAACTCAATCACAATGATTTCATTTCAACTATGCATTTTGAAGGGAATTTTGAATTACATCTAAAAAATTCCTTGCCTTTTGTTAATCAGAAACAACTGGTAATTTAGTGTTCACGAAAGTATCCCTTGAACTGAAATTATCGCAAGTGTACGGTTCGTTAACAAGTAATAAAATAGATTTGAGTCCAAGTATCGTCTCACTGAGATTGATTTTGTTCAATTTCAACCTTAACCGAAATATGAATAATATGGTGTGTTTGTTCATAACAAAATTATGAGTAAAGTAATCTATTTATGCAATTATGATTAAATTAAATAAACTAAATGCAAATTATGTTAAATGCAAATTGGTGTGTTTAATAAATGTCAAAGCACTAGGATCCCGAATTCTCATGTAATAATTTTTTTTAACTTTAGTTCTACACTTTGACAATACAATTGAATTTTATCAAATCAATGTTCCTATTTTATTTAACAATCTCTCTCGAGTAATGTTAGACCTACTATCGTATATAATCCAATTATATTTCTATGACAGATGTAAATATACAATAATGCTTGAATTTTTATGAACACTTAAATATGCACATAGAGTACATTGGTATATTTCTATTTCCTATCGTATCCTATGACAATTTAAAATAGGTCACAACATTCACACAAACTACCGTGCACAATAATTCTGGAGAAAAAAGAAGTCATTATCAAACAACGTGTTTTCAATGTCAAGTATGTAAAACTAAATATTAAAAGTTCATATTACACAATTCATCGTTCTACCATTACAAAGAAAACTAGGCTAACATATTATGAAGAAAAAAATAAAAGAAATATTGAAAAATCGACATCATCCAAATGAAGTTTAAGTTGAATTTTTGAGTCTTGTAATTGATCTTCGTGTTTCTTACCTCTTTCTATGCTCCAAAATCTCTTAGAATGTGTTTTAATGTGTATCCTCATTCACTATAGATGGTCCTTGGTCTTTAAAAGACGTTCCAAGATTTATTTTCATAAGAGTTAGAATCATATAAGGAAATCATGGAAATGTACTATGCTATAGCGTAGTACAACTTCGTGCTATAGCATAGTTCAATGAAACTCGGCCTGGAACTCCTTAAAGCTGACCATGCGATCGTATGTTATATTACACTATGCGACCACATAATGTAGATGAAAATCCAAAAGTTGCGTTTTAGTCCCCGAACTCTGTTTTCTTGTTTCGTAATCTCTTTTCTCGCTTTTTATTCTTCCAACACTTCATTCCTTCGCTCAATTAATTTTTGATTTTTTTACATCTCCATTTCTTCTTCCGGGTCATCTTTGGACTATTTTCACTTTGGTCCCTAAACTTTGATTTTCTTTCATTTTAGTAATTTTTTGTATGTTTCTCCTAAATTCCACCATGTCCTTCAATGATATCTTACAAAACATAATTTATATAGAATTAACCCATATTTCAATATATTTGCTAACAACTATCCATGTTTTGTGGCCTAAATAAGTGTGTAAAATGCACTTATCATTTAGTAACAAGAAGTATTTTGTTGTTATTTATATGAGATGCAAGGGTAACAGGTGCCGGAAACTCTCTCTGATTAGATTCTTGCAAAGATGAGTGCACCAACAAAGACAAACGCACCAGTCATTACCCCAGTTGACCTCACCGAGGTCGACGGGATCATGTTTGGTTTCCTGACTAGATTTGGGATGATGGCTGCTCAATTTAAGGCATTTATTTACTTGACCGGAGGCCTATGGAGGAACCAGGCGCTAGCAGGGAAGCCTGCAGGCATTTTTTATAGCACTGGATCACAAGGAGGTAGACAAGAAACTACCGCATAAGCTTTTATTCTGCCTCTACTACCTTATACATCTCACCTTTTTGAGCTGTGTTGAGAAAATTAAGACAAAAAGACTGACTCTAGGATTTCGTAACTCTGCAGCTTTAACAGCCATTAGCCAACTCGTCCATCACGGTATGATTTTTGTGGCCATTGCTTACACATTTGGAGATGGCATGCTCGAAATGGAGAATATTAAGGGAGGCAGCCCGTACAGTGCTGGAACATTTGCTGGAGATGGTTCTAGACAGCCTTCAGAACTTGAATTGGGGCAAGCTTTTCACCAAGGAAATCACATTGCAGCCATTGCAAAAAGCTCAAAGGAACTGCCTAATTCCTCTTTCTATAAGTGAAATGCATCTAACATACTCTTCAGTATTATTGGTATCAAATTTCTGTTTTAGTTTCACATGTCCATCTACTTTGATTAAAATAAGCGTAATAGTTCTCTCTGGATACTTTGTTTCTCAAAGGTAGCAGTTTCTAAAAACAATATATGGTTTCATTGTTCTTCTTTATATGAGATTTCCTTTATGACCCATAACTATTCAGCATCTGTAATGCAATCTCACATTACAGCAAAACATTCGATAACGTAAAAAGCAAAAACCTAGTTGAAAATGGTAAAACTTCTCAAAGAAGACAAATAAAGAGTTTTTGCCATGATTAGCCGAGACAGGCAAAAGCATTGCTAGCTATCCAAGCAAGAATGCAATAACTTTTTCTAACTTAATAATGATACCAAGATGCTTATCCTTTCAGAGAATTCCTTCACGTCTCTTCTTCTTTTCGCCTCTTTTTAACCAAGTCATGCTCTCACAAAAATAAAATAAAAATTGAAGACAGTTCTTTTTAGACTTGGATCGAGAGAGGCACGAATCCAACCTTCTGCATAATAATTCGTCGTAGAAAAGATAATAAAGCAGACGTTCCACTTTAATTATGTACTTTGTTGGGCAATGGACAGATTAACGTTATTTCCAAGCATGCCTTTGTGCACTAAATATTCATGATTATACTAAGACAAATGCATGCAGAAAATACATCCTAACCAACATAACTCTTGAAACCTTAAAAGTAGAATGGAACGCCTTAAGACTTCAATTTTTGAGGGGTAAAGTAAACTGGCTCATCCGTATTTGAAGATGCAAAATTTGGTAATTAGTCAAGCTGAATCTTCCAAGAAAATAATCTGAAAAAAATAAATAAAAGAAGGCCCATATGGCCGGAAGACTTAGGTGGGTCCGTCGTAGACCGTGCCGGGCTAAACAAATAGGGTCAAGTGGTCCAGCCCGCACCTTTACACATGGACTTGCACTACAGCTTTCCAATGAAATTATTGAAGAAATTAAACGTTACAACAAATAAAAGTAGCTGGATACCCTACAGAAAATATAGAAGAATAGAAACAGGAACAAAAGCCCTTTTATCATCTGCTAAATTCAGCTCCATCATAATGCATACTAACCTAAAACTCAGCTAAATTTAGCACCTGTTCCTGTTCCTAACCCACGTTTATAAACTACAATACAAATATTACTATTAAAATTCTACATTATTATCATTAGTTCCACCTAATCATTCTCATCAGATGGTCCAGCATTGTCTGTCTTCCTTGGAGATTCAATTCCTTTTTTTTCATTTTTGCCCTCGCTCTCTTTTTTTTGACGTACTTTTCCTCAATGCTTGTAGAACACAACAATGTGGTTACAATGTTTCCAATTCTTCTCTTTATCCAATTATTTACTTGTCGAAAATCAGTTCTATTTCTCTATTTTCTTTGGCTTTATCGACTTCTCTACCTGAATCTTCCTCCTAATGTTGGCGTCCAAAAATCACTTGTATTCTCAGCTGCAATTGGGAAGGTACTCGATATGGGTACAATGCAAAGACCCCGGCTTTTAAGGTCATGTTTGCACCCTTCTTGTTCTTTAAGCTTACCAGCAGCCTGCATAAAATATATCTTTGGTGACTTCTTTTACACCCCAAATTCTTAAGAAGCATGAATAATGTATGAACAATATAATGAGCTGCCTGAAATATTAAAAAAGTAGTTTGCTTTGGGTCCTACCTGTTGGCGTTCAAACTGAGGAGGTATATTTTTCATGTATGGAGTGCTCAACACCTGATAGCAAGGAGGCACAAACATATATCCATAAAAAATAAAAAAATAAAAAAAAAAGAAAATCAAATTCTAACTTTGAAATGTACTTGTAATGAATATTAAGTTCATATATCAGGACTTGATTCAAAATGGAACATACATTGACTTGATCATGGAGAAACTTGATGTATTCAATTGCTTCTTGTAGAACAGATGCAGTATCCGTCTGGAAAAGTAAAATACATTCAGTAACTACAAAGGAATACTGTACTTGTCAAAAAGTTTGAAAAAAAAAAATCCAGATTTTTACCTTTCCGAAGGGTGAAACCAACTGCTGGAGAGCAGTTATTCGGTCCCCCAGCTTCTCTTTTCGGACCTGATAAAAAAAGCTGAAAGTCATCATCCATTTCTTTGCCCAAATATATTTTTTTCACTAGCAAAAGAAAAGGCCTAATTACAGCTCATTAGTCATATCATAGTACCTTAAAGGTTGGTAATGGCGATGGTGTTTCAATTCGTGGACGTTTAAATGTAGGTTCATTGCTGGATATATTTGCTATTGAGTTAAAGTCTCGGGCCGTTTGTCTCTTGTTAGCCTGAAAATTTAGAAATTCAGCTGAATTTATTTTTCAATTCTATAAAACCCTAGCTAGTCTCATGCCAAAAGAAAAAAAGACTTAATTATACATCATGTGTAATAGACCATATATATTAATTCACCTTTGAAGTGACGTTGGGAAGATTAGGTTTCGTATCAAGAGTTGATGGCATGAACTGGGATTTAATGGAAGGAAAAATGTTTGGTCGAATATCATTTGAGGCCGCAGCAGCGTCGGTCCAGGAAGGTGTGCTATTTGAGAATTGCAAAGGATTAGTAGGCAGTTGATTTGGCGAAGAAGGCCTATAGTTCATATTCGTGTTGTTTAGTTGAGGCTGAGAATCTGTATTCAGTAAACTCTGCAACAAAGCTGAAGTGTATCCGTATGAAGCTGAATTCAATGGCAAGCCCGTCGAAAAACCTTGAATAGTTGCAGTGCATACATTGGAGATAGTGTTTGAGTCAAACTGCTGCTTAAAACCCTGATTTATTTGTTCGAGTGAGTTCATGTACGAATCTTCAAGAACACCAGAAAAGTTTCTTGAACTCCAGTCCTTCCGGATTTGAGGACAGTCGAGCCCAAATTGATGCGAACAATTCATGCTGGAATTGAGGTCTTCTTCTAGCATATGGAAATAATTTCCTTGAGAAGTTCCATTATCATTCCTGCAAAATGACAAGAAGAAAGAAATGAATTTCGTGGATCAACTTGACTTCCTTTTTCATATGGTTACAAGAAAATAAATCTGAATCGCCCACCTTTTAACAAGCACTGAGTATTTGGACCACTAGGGATATTGACAAAAGTTGAATTAATCAACAAAAAAGCAGCAAGAATTTGTTATATAATATTCAATGAACTTACAGTAAATCTTGATTCCAATTATCAGTTGTTGTGGATGGTGAAAGGGTAATTCCCATCATTTGTAAGATTGAGTCTGGTTTCTGCGTTTCTTGAAGAACAATAGAGCCATCAGAAGCTGAACCGGACTCATCATCACCAGATCTTGTACTCTTCATGTTCATCATATGAGTACGATGATCACTTGGCCATCCAAAGCTTCCTACACCGTTGATTGCGATTGAACACGGTGAAGAACCAAATGCAGTTCTCGATGAACTCCACCAGCTTCCACCGCCACAAATTTCACCCTGAAATTCCTTCGCCATGGTTCAGAATTGTGTCCTAGAAAGGAATTATATGGCTAATGTTATATCTGTGTGCGTATATATAGAGCGATGGAGATATATATTCACACAGTGAGGGAAATGGGAAACCGTTTTAAGGTACGGACACGTTGGTTAAAGAGCCGGAATCTGGTTGACATTTGTAATAGGGACTTTGCCAATTTGACGAAAAATTGTAACGGATGCAGTAACATAATCTTAGTTGGCAACACGTGATTTGATGGGGATGTTGACTGTATTTAAAACAGTCCAATAATAAAATATCATGTGACATTATGTCAAAAATTATATCAACAATTATGTTACTGTAGCATGATTGTCGTAATAGATTATGACCCACGAAAATAAAAAATTAATTTTCTATTATTATTTTTATTCTTGTCACTGTTGCTACTTTATTTATTTATTTTTTTACTTTGTTATTGTGCTGAAACGGTACAAAAGGAAAAGAAAAAAATCCTACTTGCTTATAAACAAAGGAACGTGGAATGATGTGAAATTTGATACGTCTTGCTACATCACAGTTTTCGGAGAGAATAATGTATGTTTTGGGAACTTAAAATTCTACGGGCATAAATTGATTATACCGAGGAGCCGGAATTTCAGCACCATTCCTCACTTCACTTCCAAGATTCACTATGATTGAGAAGGCATAACTGTTATTAGAAACAAATTATGATTAAAGATATTCATATCTAATATTTACGANCACCAATGAGTTGGCACATTAATTCATTGGTGGATTTGAACTCACAAAATCTTTATCTACCAATGAATTAATGTGCCAACTCATCGGTGATTAGGATAAGATGAGCACCGATGCTCATTAGATCATTTCTGTATATATATATATATATTGCATTTAAAGAGGCTTAAAACCGAACAAATCGATTGTTGACCTTATCACTTTGAGTTAAGCTTTTAACTAATCTGAATGGTCGGTTCGATGATTGGATTGACCCCAACTCAACCTGTGATCATATGATAGTGACCTCATTTCTACATAGACTGGAGATCATCTAATCCTTTAGAGATTCATAACATTATTCAAAATTTTATGGGTAAATTATAGGGTTAGGCTCGACAACCTTTTAGGTGGTGTAATAATCGATTCGAACAATTGAAAGTGAAGTTTTAAATTCGAACATATTTAAATTGATCAATTTGAGTTTCAGATTGATAGCAACCACCAATGTATATACTAAAATTGCACAAGACTTTCATATAACCCGTAGCTAGAGGATGAAATTATCAAATTACTTAATATTTATATTCAATTCTAACTTGAAGCTACTTGAAATTTTAATGTCTAATTTAATATTTTTCACATAGGATCCAAAATTCCATATTCAAATAGGTTGGGAACCAAAATCTTACTTTTGCAGATTGAGAACTCATAACTACACTACGTGAAATATTGGAAGCCGAACCTTTATTTACCTATGTTTTATGTATTTATCATGTGGTGGATTCCAAAATATTGCACAACTTTTCGATTCCTTTTTACTGATTATAGGGGGTGTTTCTAAGATGCTCTTCCTACAAGAGTTCTGCTACACGTACAGAAAAACTTTCATAAAATTGTTACAGAATTTCATTTGGTGCATTATCATTGGTTCCTTTCAAAAAATCACAAGAAAAAAAAAAAAAGTATCATACAGGTGCTGCCAACGCAACACATGTAATGTGCTGTGAGAAAAACCAGTACCCAAGGGAATAATTCATTTTACGATGGAGAATCATAACCACTTATTCATTATACTTTTGCAGGTGAAGACACCCTTTCCTTCCTTGTGTTACCCGATTTTAGCATTACAATAACACATTATTGTTAATGCATAACTATAATCCAATTACAGACTATTAATTGAAAATCCCAGCTGGTCTTCAACTTTTTATCGGTCAACATTTTAAATCGATTTTACTACTTGTACGTAAAAAATTGTACATAATGGAATTTTAAAATGAAGCTGTTTGGTTCCAGTTCAAAAGTCCTTGCTGATCAAAAAATAAGTTCCGTTTGGTTTGCATTTCAGTGCTAAATTTTGAGTTCATTTTTAATTTTCTGTTTTTATTTGCTATTTTAAAATTGCAGAAAATGCGTATGATTTGTCCTGAAAAATTATTTCTCAAAATAAAAATTGGAAAATATGATTGGCCTTTAAGAAATTTTTTTATGACATTTTATTCAATGAATTTGATTATTTAGTAAAACGGAACAATTTTATGCTAATATAATATTAAATAATATATAGTTTTTAAAGTTGGCGAATCTTACAATATTTTATCCCAACTTAAAAAATACAAAACAAATAATAAATTGATATATTAGACGCATTATTAAAAGTCTTTTTTATTTGAACTGAGTGTGTTTGAAACGTCAACTTTTAATTAATTAAGTGAACAGTTTCTCCTTTGTTTGGACTAAAGGGTGTGAATCTTCAGCTTTAAATTTATAAAAAATTATTTTAATTAATTAAATTTTTTTTTATGTAATTTAAATTAAAAAATGAAAATAATATAAAGATTTGTAATTCAAACCATATTTTTCATCTTCACCTGGGACAGTTTGACTGATTACTTCTTTCAAAGGTTGAAAGTATTTGACTTTCACAAGTCAAAGCAATTGTAGTTTTTTGAAATTTTGATATTAATTGTTGACTAATTAAAAGTTGAAGAGACAATTTAGTCCAAAGTGTGATTGTTCATTCACACAGTTTGGCTGCATAATTGACTTTTGTGCAACATTTTGACCAAATTTAATAAAATCAGAATGTGGATACTTCCTATATAAATTTTATCAAAACTACTTAAAAAGTGAAACAACCAATCACATTTATGGAACTTACTAAGTAATTATTAATCACGAGTGCTTAAGCTCACAAAAATAAATAAATAATGGGTACAGTCCAAATGTTGAGTTATTGTGCACTACACTTGTGATGTGTATGCCCCCAAAATTGACTAAAGTCGTGTTTATCAAATGGCAACTTTGTTAGTGGATGGAGTTAATTGGATCTTGACACTTGGCATTTTGTTGGCCATTCGTTGCTTACGGGATGATTCCAAGGGTTAAATCTTTGGCATTTCATTCTAGAGTTCACCTGGCTTTAGTTGAGAGAGAAAATAATAACTCTCGTCTAGGCTTCATTCTCTGTTCTTGAAACTCTTATTCGAGATTGAGATTTTCAAACCTGTTTCTGATTCTAACATTTTCTAATTGGAAAATGTTAAGGGCTTGAGCGTTCTTATGTTGTATAGATCATATTTGTGATTTGTGTGAGCTCTTAGTGACCTTGATTGTTCAATCTGCAATTACTGAAAGATAAGTCCATTTCTGACTTGATCTTTTGTGTTGTTGAACTATTATAAACCTTGGTTGCCATTTGGGCCATTGTTAGTGCAATCAAGCATTACCCATTTTTTTTTTAGAAGCGGTCACAAAATCTCCAAGGCTTCGATTGAAACAATTCGTTCGTGTTCATGTTTTTTATTTCTATTATTAATCTAGGAGTGATAAAGATTATATAGTTTTAAAATAGCATAAGAGGTTCCCAGGCTTTAATGCCTGTCACACTTTGGTCCCGGTTCCATCCCAACCTTTCATTTTAGTTTAGGATCTTTCAAGAAACATAATGAAAATCTAATCCCTTCTTGCTTTGCTCTCACCCTCACCTCACCCCATCCCATAGTGCAAACAATCACCAACCCCGTCTACCATCACGACGGTCACACCAATTGACATCACCTTCCTACTAAACAATCCAGAAAATCACAAAATTTTCTTCAAAATCTAACGTTGTGTCTAATATAGCGTTTGTACGTTTTTTGTGTCAATGACGAGAAGAATTTCGATGACATTTTAAATGTAACGTTCGATGAAGTAGTCGTCGATAGTACCATTTGCATAACCCACGTTTGCAGCTCAAATAAATAATTAAAATAATTTCTGAAATTAGCAAAAGATTATAATACGAATCTAAGGTCACAATGAGACGGACAAATTAAAAAAAGCTTAGTTTTTTCAAGTATGATTTAATTTGTAGTTAAATACCGACCTTTATGTAGCCCTGTTTGAGCCACATTCTCGTTCTCTTACTCATTTTTAATCACACATTTTTTAATAAAATAATATTTTCTATCGCATCAATAATTTTTCCTTCTTTTTCAGCCACATATCCACCATCACATCACAAAAAAAAAAAAAAAAAAAAAATTCATTCTCTCCTAAAAAATGCACATCAAACACACTCTAAAATTTGATTTTGTCCATATCAGTTTTGCGTTTTCCTTGCTAGTCAGGTACAATTAGGACCCCTATGGGTCAGTTTCCTTTGATGTAGAAGTGAATTTGGTCACACCTATCCCCTTCTTGGATTTTCTATGTGTCCTTTTGCAATGGTGGAATGTTGAAAATGACCATTTCACCCTTACGTTTATGTCATGCCCTGTGACCTCTCCTAATAGTTTTTTATTATTTATTTTTAGCATCTAGAAATATAATTAAAAATTGACCCAAATGTCAACTCAAACATGTGCACTGCTTGTATCTATATCCAAATTGGGAACAGGATTGATTACTAAACACATGTATAAATTATTACATTAGGATACAACATATAAGTTAATTTAGAAACAATAGTACCCTCATCGAGGACAATTTGAAGAGTTTATAATCCTAATATTTAGAAGCCGATGAGAAAAGCACTCAACCGATGAGTTGAACATTAGAGTATTTAAAATCGGTAATGGTTCTGGCCGTTTATCCGATGATTTTTTAAACTTTCCATAAAAAATTGAGTAATTCTATTCATAACAACTGGTATTAAGTACAATCTAGTACCACCTGTATTAAGGGCGTGTTCGGTAAAGATTAAAATTGGATTAAAATTGAAAAATTAGTCGTTATTCTTGACTTTTATTAGACGAGTGAGATCCAATAACGACCATATTTTCAATTATAATTGAATTTTAATCGAAAA